CCCTAGTCCCACGGGGCGGGCAACGGCAGCTGGGGGACGCCCCGCCCTCTGGGCTTCTGTCCGAGCCTCTGCCGGGAGCCCTGAGTGCTCAGCGTGGCCCCTCTGCTAATGGCAGACAGAGAGTTTTGTCTGCTGCCTGGCGGAGTTCCGGCGCTTCCCCTCCCCACTGTTGGAATTCTTATGGAGTTGTGTAATTTTCTGAAAAGACAGTGTGGCAGAGATCAAGCCAAACCTTCCTTCGCATCCTAAATCTTCTTTCGCACCCCACCTCTGGGTCCCGTGCAGGGGGCTGGGCCATGACGTGCAGGGGGCTGGGCCACGATGGGGCAGAAGGACGTGAGTCTCTTCCAGGCTGAGGCAGGAGCACTCCTGCATGAGTCCCCAGCCTCTCTTCCCCGTGCTGGTGAGCCCCAAAGGCCTGGCGTCCAGATGGTGGAGCCACAAGATCACACATGCACGCGCTCTGGAGGCGGACACCAGAGGAGGCGGGCGATCGATCGTGGGTCGTGGACCTTGGATTTCTTTCTGTGTAACGTGATGGGAGGGAGGAGCTAAAGCCGCTAGCCCCCAATCCATTCACTGTCTTCACTGGGCAGGAAGCCAGAGAAAGGAAAGGAAGGCAGGGGACCCAGCTAATCAGCCTCCTTGTCACCTGGCCTCGGGGCCCACAGCCTGATGCATTTGCCAGGAGCAAGTGCATTTGCCACTTCACTGCCAGAAGCCCCCTGGCCATAGGAGTACTTAGAGTCAAGGAGCCCCCAATCTATGCATCATGGCTCCCTGGAAAGTGTCACTTACCCCACACAGCTCCCTGGGTGAGAAAACAGAGATGTCTCACAGTTAAGCCCCATGCTGTGTGAGCCCCACTAGTGACCTCATCTATTTTTTAGAGCCATATGGCAGGTGTGACACAGGAAGGAATAATATGGGGAGCTGCCCTTGTGTCCCAGACCCCCCTCTCGGCTTTCTCTAGATTACATCCTTGAAGATGTTCGTAAACCTCGATTCCGGAGGACCTCTGACTCACGAGCCTGCTGTGCCGGCCCCATCTGCGTATCTGCTCTCTCGGGTGTGTGATTACGGTTGGCTCGCCTGTCTGCAGGTGTCGCATCCGTGGGTTCGACAAACCTGGGCACTGGGAGGAGGAGTCTGGGGAGGGACGGACCTGCCTGGCTGAGCTCCCTGGAGCAGGATGACTGCCCTGCCCGGGTGGCCCGGATGGGGGCACCCCTTCCTCACCCTCACCGCAGCCCTCTCGGGGACAGAGGGACCTGAGGCTGCTCAGTCCACCACCATCGGCCAGGGTGCGACTCTCTTCCATGCCAGGGTGTGGTTGGCGGGTGCAATCGGCTCCCTGTCCTTCTATCTTGCCTCAGTCAGTAATAACGTCACCCTGTGGCCTCCGTCTCCCTTCCCTTTTGTTCTATTTCCCAGTTCAGGGCTCAGGTGGGGGCGGAGCGAGTTTCCTCAAGACGTGGTCTTGTGCCCTGCTCTGCAATGTTTTTCTTATGAACACCTTCAGACATTTGCCCGGGTTTATCTCCTAAGCCCGTTTCCGCTTGGGGGAAGTAAAGAAATTGAAAGGTGGTTTTTATTGCATGGCAGTTGGGGCATCCACAAGGATAGTTAAAGATCATTAGTAGAGTTTGGTGCCTATTTGCGGGGTTTGACCAGAGTGTGGCTTCCAGTTGCTTCTGGAAGACTTTGCAATCTAAAGGCCTCGTGCATCCACACGACTGCTAACACCCACCGAGTCAACTTAACACTGTCGCCCCTTCATTCTCCCCTCCACCCTCGTATCTCCCCTGAGATGGTGTGAGTTAATGTGTAATCCACGACAAGAAACCAGAGGTGAGAATATTGTATTTCTCTTTCCAAGAAAGGAAAATTGTTTATATTTTTAAAAAGAACAGAAAGCACAGAATAACATCCACCTCCTTTAATTCTTAGGCCAATTTAGAGTACAGGGGATCAGAGCAGGCCATCCACGCAGCAAGCCGAGGCACAGACATAGAAGTATCCAGAGCTGTTGGGCCAGTGACGCGGCTGAGCCCCTGGCCCCCGGGCAGAGGGCCGGTCCACCTCAAGATGCCATTCCCGCCGGAAGAGCGTCTAAAATGGGCACTCGTCTGCAAGGGTGAGGTGTGGGGAGAAGAGACGGGTTAATGAGAGTATTTTCTTTCACTTTTAAAGAATTACAGAGAATTTGACTCTAAAATATTAATGGGGAAATTCTTTAGAAAACATGGGCTGTCTTCATATTTTAATTGTCCTGCCTCCACTCCCACCCGAAGCTAGCCACCGAGCATTACCAAGGCTGACTCCTCAAAGACTTTGGTCACAGATGTGCAGAAAAGCCAGGAAAAAATAGATTTCCACGCCAAACGGTCTTTCAGCCCTGCCTTTCCATCCCCAGACCTGAATGCAGCCCGATAGTGGGCAATCTACTCTTCACAGTCAGCCTGTAGCCGTTATTCTGGGTACAAACACAGCTGCCGAAGCAGAGCAGGGTCCTGTGGTCACATGTGTTTTTTTCTCACTGATTCTATGTCTTCAGACCCCATGGCCGTACCTTCCGAAGAGTCATCCACGGCCACAGGATGGAAGCACCATGGGACTCCACGGACAGTGTCGTCAAAACAACAGCCTTTATCTTTACACTCTGAAGCCGTGACACCGGGAAAACCACAATTTGTTCTTGCTTGGGCGGCCACTGTACACGTCTCTGAAAGGGGATGGGGGCAAGAGGGGAAAGTGAGTCATGGTAACTCGCTGCTACCATCTACACTCCAGCCCAGCCTCCCGTCCAATTACGTCAGCAACCACCTGACACTGCGGATGTAGCTCATAGTACAAGAGGGAGACTCTGTCCTCATTTCCTGATGCGAAAACACTTAATCTCGGGAAAATGCAAGGTGCCTAGGATTTGTGAACTTGGCACTTACCTAGATTATTTATTCACTTAACAATTTCAACAATTATTAAACTTTATTCACTCAATTAATAAATATTGAGCACCTTTTGTGTGTGCTGGAAACGGGAGCCAGCACAGCAAAAATAGACGGCCAAGTTCCCTCAGGGGTCGAGCTCAAGCCAGGGCTTGTGCTGGCTGATGGGAACCCAGAAATGAAAACTAGAGAGGTTGTTGGTAAGAAGCCAACAGTCTACTGGAGGAGAAAACCAAATAAATGTACAAAACAGCACATTGCGACCATCTCAGTTTGCCGAGGCAAGCACAGGAGGGACAAGTGACAACAAGGCTGAACAAAGCAAGGAGGGCTTCCTGTAAGAGGGGGTTGACTGGGTGAGAATAGGGCCATGGGTCATCCAAGCAGAGGGAGCAGTGCATTCAAAGGCAATGAAGAGAGAGAGCAAGGTGTGTTCAAGGAGGTGTACGTCCATTTGCAGGTAAGATGGAGAGATTGATGTGGGGGTGGTATGGGAAGAGCCAGGCTGAGGGCTAGGGCGGACCATTTCAGTGTGAGAGCAAAGGAAGCCGCTCACCTTTAACCAGGGGAGTGATGAAATCAACCCAAAGTGGAGAACATGCTGGGGAGACAGGGCCAGCTAGCAGGCTCCCACATCATCTAGAAGTGAGAGCTGTAGAGGCCAAACTCGGACTCAGAGTCTAGGGCTCTGAGAAGGCAAACTGGTGGTGGATGGGTTGAGGCAGGTCATAGAAGAGTCTGGAACCCCTTCCTGTCTCTGTCTTGGGAGAGAGGGTATAGGAAGGTGAACATGGACTCAGAGGTGCTCGCGGACATATGCCGTCAGCCAGGCTCAGGAGAGACACCTGGGTGTGCAGGGGCTCCGTCCTCCTCTGAACCAGAGTCTGTCTCTGTGTGCAGAGCAAGGAGAGAAGACGGATGGGGGGCAAGGCCTTGGAGCATTGACAGTAAAGGGGCGGAGAGGGAAGGAGCCTGAACAGAAGAGCGAGCAGAGTCAGAGAGGCAGGAGGACCGAGACTCAGGGCGGAGGTGGTCATGGGCTGGCCTTGACCTGGGGCATCAGGCTCTCTGAAATGGAGAGTCTGTCCAAAGACGGACAGATGTGGGACCCTCTTTTCCTAGACCGAGAGCGCAGGATGCCCACATTTGTGAAACCCAGCAAGCATTCTAATGCTGAGCCCATTGCATGAGCTGCTCTCTGTGGGGATCTGTTTTCACATCTGCGATCGCCTCTAGCTTTCTTTGAAGAAAGGATTCCATGGCTTTGTGGGAAAGATCTGGATCCACTGGCTCAGTGGCCTCTGCCTACAGGGCCTGGCTGCCCATCACAGAGCAAAGGTGACCATTGCCCGCCCCGCAGGGTGGGCGTGAAGGTCAAGAGTAGCTGTGTGTGTAGTGCTTGGACCGTGGTGCTCGTGTCCTTCTCTCCCTGCAGGAGGGAGATGCAGCAGCCATGGGGTGTAGGCGGAGGGGGCCGGGTAACCCCCCTGGTTACTTGCTGGGTAACCCAACACTCTCCCAACTGGTATTCCTAAACAGGAATTAAAGATTTCCAAGGATTCTGTCCAAGACAGGATTCCATCTTGCCCATCCATAATGGAACTAAATGGAAATGATTCCCATTTGGGGGCTATACTTGTAAAGAGAGTTTTCTAGATTTCTGTTGTCACAGGATCACTGATCCTGCGAGGCCCATAGCGAAGGGTCCAGCCTCAGGCCAGAGGGCAGGGGTCCATGGCTGGCCGCGTGAGTGGGCTGTCCTGAACTGCGGTGAGGGGGCCCAGTGCCGGGCTCCGAGGGGCCGGGTTGCACAGCCTCCTGGAGCCAGGCAGTGCAGCAGGCAGAGCTGAGGGCCGGAGCGAGGGTGGAAGAGAAGGTGCAGACAGGCCTGGGGGTGGCCATGCGCAGGCCGCACTCCCTCCATCCCCCACAGCAGAGCTGCGTCTCCTTCCAAGTTCCGAAGCCCACGCCCTCCTCCTTAGCTGTGGGGGCCTTCCTCCTCCCACCCCCTCCCTGTACACCCCATTTTGTGTTCATTCGTCATGAGGTCCTCGGAAGGTGCCCAAACATACATAGAAACCATCTTTTTATCTCCTTTCTCCTCAAACTTCTACAGAAACTCTTGTTTTGAAAACTTTGAAAAATCCTTTTGCCACCCCCCTCCCTTTAAAACTGTATCCAACAAAAATAAATAACATTCTGTAGCCCTTCTTTGCTTGCAAAGCAGTTTTCACAAACATGGGCACACTTGATTTTCTCGACGGCCCTCTAAGGCAGATGACTGATCCCATTCTGCAGATGAAGGAGACGCAAACAAGTTCGAAGGAAGCAATGGTGCCTCCCTCCTCAATTCTCCATTTGGTGACGCCTCTGGACTAGGTGTTGATGGACACGCACAATGGGACAGGTGGTTTGGGCTCCGCAGAGCATGGAGCCAACAGAACCCACGGAACCTACTGGAGATGTTCTCAGAGGACGCTGTCCACGGAACAGGCACCTGGACCTCCGTGTGGATGTTGAGGGGGTCCACCCCTGGGTGGAGTTTGGCTTGGACTTTTGGAAGAGCTAATCTTGTACCCCACACCAAACTGCCCTTTGAAATATGGTACCTAAGAGCGGTCCATACTGGAGGAATCTGCATCTCACAGAGGTTCTCAAGGTCTCGTTGACCTTTTACCCCAGTGCTGTTCTCCCCCTGGTTTTGCCTTCCCAAAACTTTCAAGAGCCAAGAAGAGTGCCTGGCACAAAACAGCCCTTGGCTCAAAAATGCTTATTGTGAAACGGTGCCTCCCTCGGAGGCCCACCTCTGCCCGGTGTGCCTGCTGTGAAGCGGGAAGAGGGCTGACTTACCAGCCTCGCTCTGGGCCAGGGTGCTGAGGGCCAGCGAGAAGACCACAACCAGGACGCAGAGGGCCTTGGGTTCCATGGCGGCCGTGACCTCCTCCTCTCCACTCCAAAGGAGGCTACCAGTCAGGGATGAGAATCTGCCCAAGCCAGCGATTTTATATCACAGCTCTGTTTGCATAAAGAGCGGTAGCTACCGTTTGCCTAAGGAGGGTTCCGCCATTCTCCGTTCCAAGCAATCTGCACTGATTAAAAAGTGTTTCCTCGACGTGGGCAAGCCCCGTCCACGAGCTTACTGATAGAGAAAAATGCCATGTGGCGCAGTCATCCTGGTTGAAGGATTTCAGATTCAGAATGTCCCTCCCTTACCCTCTTATCCATGACCATGACCTGGCTGCTAACCATATCGGTGAGGCCCCCCTGCTAATGTCAACGTTGCGCTCACCGAAATAAAGTGACTCATAGCGGGACATGGCCCACAAATGGCACAGGTGCGTCAATAAGGACTCACGGTGATTCAGGGGAAGGAGAAGGAGCAGCTGAGGCCACCCACGTGGCAGCCTTTCGAGGTGGGCATGTGGCGATTTTCAAGTGTTTTGAGAATCTGAGTCCCGGGGGACTGCTGTGCCTGGACAAGATGAGAAGCAACATGCCCAGCCTGCTCCCCCACCTTCTTCTCCCCCAGGGGACGTGGATGTCAATCTTCACCTTTTCTCCATTCGTTTTGTATTGTTAGACATCTCCATGACAAATTTGTACATGACCAAAACACCCTGACGTCCTTCACTGAGGAGACACGGCCGTGTCCAGAGGGTCTGGCCTTCCAGGTGCTATTGACACTGAAAACTCGCAAACGTTCGACGTTCTCATTGAAGGAGGTGCATGAGCATTTTGCTTATTTATCTACATTAATTTCTTTTGCTTTTCTTTTTCCTTTTACAGTGGAGTCCTTTTAAAAGCAAAATCATGTATGCGAGAGCTGACACGGAAACTGGCAACTAGAGGCTCACCTCCCTCTGGCGGGGTCCCCCTCCCGTGCCTGCGGGGCTCACTCTCTCCCATCCTCCCAGGGAGGCCTCCTTGACACTGAAGGTGAAGGGTGACTTCCAAGACTGGCTCCCTGGGCCACCCTGCTCTCGTCCTTCCCATGTCATAGTTCTCACCATCTTCTCATCACGGTGATGGCAGGTGCATTGTGCTGATCATTTACTGCCCCTCCCCCGGAGAATGGCAGGTCCACGATGCTCTGTCTGCTCTGTGCACTCAGGTGGTCCCAGTACCTGCAGTGGTGCCTTACTCAATAAGCATCTGTTGAAGAATGAATGAATGAATGAATGAATGAATGAACGAACAATAGGAGGGATGTTTTTTCTTCAGTGAAACATCAGGCTCTGAGGAAAATGAATCCAGCCTCAGGGAGCTACTTGCTTAAGTGACCTGACAAATAAGCCCTGGCAGCCACTCTGGGAGGGAAACGGGTCAGCATGGGGCTGCCATATTCTTCGTCATTCCTCACCTAAACCCCAGCCCCCACTCTCCAGGGTGGCCAATCCTGAGCCAGTGCCTCCAGGAGAGACCCGATGTGCAAGACCCAGGGAGGGACCAGGCACAGGAAGTCCTCTGCAGGGATGGGTGAGGGTCACCAGAGCCTGGGTGGGGCCACCCGACCTGGGTGAGGCTCATGATGATGAAAAACACGCCTCTAATTTCTCAGATTGAAATGGGAGCTCTCAGCAATGGAAATGCCAGTGGTGGAAAAACTGGGAGAAAAAAATGGGTGATGCTTAGTGAAGGCGAAGCTACACAGACTTTCCAGCTCAGCCATGCCACGCGTGCTAGACCTAACGTCTACCCCAGATAAATCCTCACACGTGGGTAGAAGGAAACACAAAGATCAGCTTCGCAGCATTGCTTATAATAACTTTAAAAAAAAAAGGAAAGAAAGTAGAGGAAGAAGCAATATAAATATTCACAAATGTTCATTAACGGAGGAAAGGGATAAATGACCTAAAGTATATTATTTATGTGTACCGGATACCTTGCAGAAGATGAAAGTGAATGAATAAATACTAATAAAAATGGATAAATATTGAAAACAAAGTTAAATGAAAAAGGTAAGTTAAGAATGGCTCTTAAAGTGTGATATCATTTATGATGTAGATTTCTGAAATATTGCGAACAATGCACTGCACTGCTACCACGGCGCCCAGATGAAACAAGATCACAAGCACATGGACAGGAAGGAGGCCTGCTGACCTCCGCAGAGCGCACCCATCTGGGAAGGAGGGAAGAAGGGAAGTGGGGGGGGTGGAGTTCAAAGGGGCCATCAACGTATCTGTAATGTTGTACTTCGGTGATGAAAATCTAAAGGAACCCTCGTAAGCAGGTCAGCATCTATTTATTTAACGAGGGAGACACAGATTGGCGGATGTTTGTTATATCCTTCGCTGTCTGTTTGCAATTCTCTCTTTGTAAAGCCCGGTTCCTATGTCCTTGGGCAGAAGCGGAGGGAGAATGGTGAGTGGCTCACGGCCCTCCTGGGTCTGGGCGGTGTGACCGCAGGAGCCAGCAGTGGCGGTCTGTGGCAATTCCAAGACTCCTGGCGGACCACTGTCCCACAGGGTCACACCAGGACCTTCACGCAGCAACCCTATACACTCTATTTTTTTTTTTAATTGCAGTTTGGTGAAGGAGAAAACGCACCGAGCTGAGTGCTGGTCCACTGATGAGTTAGTCACTTTGCACAAGCATTTTAACTCCTTGGGGTGTGGATTTTCTTATCTGGAAAATAAGGCAGTTGGACCCCAGACAGCTAAAGTGCTGATGGAATCTACCACCCTCCCCTGCTGGGGCTCCATCGTGGGCGCCACTCGTGCTGCGTGCCCCGCAGATCTTCCTGCTTTGGGGTAAGAACTCCCCATTTCTAGTTGGGGCCCACTGCTCTGCTCTCGCGAATGTGGTTTGGCCTGGCCTGACCCGACCCATTTCCCTGCCCCAGGGCCGCACTGGTTCGGTTCAGGGATGAGCATCTGAAATGGGGAGCTGGGTTTCCTCCGTCTGCCCCTCTCCATCAGCCCTCTGAGCCCCTGGAAGTGGAGCCGTGGGGGCCATGTCCACAGCCCTCGTGCTCTCTGGCTTCTGGCTGCTGTGGGTGACACAGCAGGACATGGGGACCGGGGAGGAAGTGAGCTCACATTTGATCTCCTGAGTCCCTCCCTACAGGGTCACCTTGGACCGGCCACGTCCCTGTGTCCAGCCACAGCTCAGTGGGCAGCCCTCTTCACATGGCACTGTACTCTGGGTCCCAGTAACGGACCCTGCTCCTCCAGGCTGAGGGGTCCACCAGCCCCAAAGAGAAGTCAACACTCTCTTCATTTAATTTTCCTTGAATTATGCAGGTTGGGAGTGACAGGCCTGTTTCCTGCCCAGCCTCTGACCGATATAGAAACTGCTGCTGCAGGGACCCTGTTACAGGCCCAGGAAATGATCCCTTGAGCCCAGGCTCCTCGTCGTGTCTCCTGGTTGGGGACCCGGGGCACTGGTGACCCTCAGCGTGGGCGGTATCACAGCTTCTCAACTTAACGGAGGCGGGGAGGAGGAATGAAGTGTGGTGTGAGGTGAGGCACTGGGGGGTGGGTGCTGAGGCATTTCCTGTCTGTGGCGACCATCACGTGATGGAGATTTGGGTCAGCTGACTTCTACAGAACAGTCAAAGAGGAAAGAAGACATTGAGGACTGAGGAGACCCATCTGAGAGCAGGACAAGTGGAGGGGCTCCCCGGCGGCACTGAAGGAGCCTCCCCACAAGTTCCCAGAGTCTCAGGGCAGTGCGGGCAGCGGTCAGGCCGGGGCCCAATTCCAAGACTTGCCAAGATCTTGGCAGTGGGGAGGCAGGAGAGGAACTCTGAGACATGGGACTGGGGTGTTCAGGCAGAAACGTGCGGCTGAGAGTTTTGAACCCCACGCACCCCTGAACCCTCTCCACCAGCAGAGGGGACCCCTTGACCCCTGTACGATGCAGAGGAGCTTTCCTGGCATAAATGCCTCCCTTGACCATGGACTGCTCCGCGGCTCACACAGGATACAGACATGGGATGCAGACACAGGATGCAGACACGGGATGCAGACAAAGGATGGGGCTCCCCTCAGGGCCATTCCCACATCCCAGCATCGCTTCCAGGTGCATGAAGGTTTAGACTCCTCACGGCCCAGACAGAGGCAGAGGCTGCAAGGGAGGATAGTGCACCCCAAAAGAGTTTTGGAGCTGCATCCGCAGGAGTTTGGGGGGACGTTCAAGAGTGGAGTTGAGGGCTGGAGGACCCTGGAGAATGAAGTGCCACTCCCAGAGGACTGACATCAGTGCACATTCAGGACAGATGTACTAACACAAGCACATGGCAGTGGGGGGTGGGGCAGCTGACCATCTTGCAGGTGGGTGACAGAGCCCTGGGGGGGGGGGGGGGGGGGGGGGGGGGGGGGGTGCGGTGGCCAACAGTTCATGTAGTCAAAATGCAAGAAACCCCCTGACACGTGGCAGCCTTGCTACTCGAGATGGTCTGAGGGCTAGTGGCGTCCCATCCCTGGGATCCTGATAGACATGCTCCCTCCCAGACTTCATGAAGTAAAATCTGCATTCTAGAAAGTTCCCAGAGGATTCACATGCAAGTCAGGTGTGGGTGGCCCAGTGCCATCGAGGAGGAGAGGGTCTCAGGGTCAGGGAGGCCTCAGTGATGGAGTGAATCTGTGTGCACCCCTCTCAGCCACCCTGGGAATGCCCAGAGGGCGTCCCCATCACTCAGGTGAGGGGCCACCAGAATCCTCCACAAGTCCTGTGGCTCCTCCAACCTTTTTAGGCCAGAGGTGACATGGGACTCAGAGTCCCTAAACAAGAATGGAGGCCAGGTCCCTTTGAGGAAGGGTCTTACAGCAAGGCCACAAATGCATACAATAAGCCTCGTCCAGAATGATCTGAGCCACTTACCAGTGCTGTGGGTTGCATGATGTCCCCCCAAAAGATGGTGAGGTCCTAACCCCCAGTGTCTGTGAACGTGACTTTATTTGGAAATAGAATATTTACAGATGATCAAGTTAAGATAAGGTCACTAGGATGAGCCCTAATCCAGTGTGACTGGTGTCCTTATAGAAAG